TGTTCGTCTATTACATATAAAATTTAATTTTATGTAAACATTTAAATTATTTTAATTAGCGTATGATAAAATGAAATAATATTAACGATGTTAATAATGAAATAGTGCTCATTCAAGTCGCACGCGATTGTTCTTGTCCCGACTCCCGTGCGATAATCTGTTAAAACGTTCGTAACTAGTGGTTTAAGCTTCACAACATAAATAGACAGAGAGCCAAGCCGTGCGAAAGTGAACGTGACCATTTTAATTTTATATCAGAATATCGAGGGCGCGTGTATCTAATAATGTACATATTATGTATGAATTAATTAATACACTTAAGTACATGTGTAAGTAGGTATTTAAATAATTAATTACGTCGTGTTTGGGCTTCTATTATAAAATTTTTGGAGAACCCTAAAATGGACTTGGTATTTCTACCAACTTACTAGGTTTTGAAAATAAAGTATATAATTTTATAAAAAGGGTCTTATAGTAATAAAATGATATGATGTTTTGTATAGCAGTAGTTTATGGAGCTAGAATTCATTATTAAAAGGAATAATTAAATAAAAATCATGATTTTTCTTTATTTTTAACATAATTAATTATTTTTTTAAGATCATAATCACGTGACTACAAACGCCAATTACGGTGCGTGACGTCACTTACCTACCATTGTCATTAGTGTCAAGTATATATATATATATATATATATATATATATATATATATATATATATTATATGATCTGTGCTAGTTTGTTGTTTATACAGTGTAGTTTCGAAAATTCAATTCTCTGTAATCTCAAAGTTTTAATCGTTTAAGTAAAGTAATATTTAAATTTACTTACGTTCCTGGTCCACACCATGGCGAACAAATTTATCCGAGATGGCAACTCAAATCATGTATCGATGTCATGATGGTGGCGGAATTTTTCGCTAAAAACCCTGATTTTATTTTATTTTTTATTTTATCTACCTAAGTACTAGGTATTACGCAAATTAAAGGGTGTAAAAATCTGATTAGTCTTAAAATAATCCAAGGAACCTGAATAATCTCTAAGCATAACATCATAATAAAATACAGACTAATAACATACCTACAGCAGCGACCAGTGTTGCGTCTGGCAATATATATGTATAGTTCAATGAATATACTGTAATGTATACTTACATCAAAATTATCTTTATAGACGTAAATCATTGATTTTTCCAGTCTCGCCTTGTGTCTTATTGGTATTATTTTCACATAAGGGCACTGAACAGTACTCACAATACTTAATTGCATTCATTTTCAATATTCTTGTTACCTTTTCAATTAATAATTAATCGATCGAGCCCACAGATTACGGAATATAATCGAGCTCTTTATAGTCTACACACGCTCTGTATGATAAGTGACGTCACGGTTGGACGATTGTTGAGAGTGGCGTTTTAGCTCCAAATTCAAAAGTGAAAAATATTTTCGATTTTTTAACATAACAGTACAGTAATTTCTGAGGGAAAATATCTTTAGCAGCATTTTATTTATGTAAACAATAGGCTGAGACACTTTTCATAAAATAGTCCAAGACCCTATTTATTTTATGTTGCTTCTAAACGGCTCTAACGGTTTGGATCACATTTTGTATTTAGAATTTACATAAGGTTTTGTTTTTTAAGCTAAACAATATATGTAGCTGTCTTTTCTGAAAAAAAAACGCAATTTTTACGTAATTACAGAAAAAACACGGTTTTACAAAATGCTCGATCGCTCAGATACTCCTTCTAATGAAGCTTATAAATGTGGTAATCTGCGAACAAACATTTTTCGATGTTAGATGTTCGTTACTTGTTACTACTCGTAAATCACTTGTTGACACGTGTAATGTGATTTAGGATGTGATGAGATGTGAGGGGATTTAGATGAAACTTGGCCTTGTTCTGGACTAACACGTATAAGAGTTTTATCGTGATACTACGTGTCTACTAGTACTAGTACATGCCTGCTTACAGTTCTATAAAAGTTTATCTTTAATGTTGTTTAATTCTTAAACTAAAATGACTCAACATAATAGGTTCCTAGATGATGCTAATAAAAGCTATGTCATTAATTTCACTTTGTCATATTCAATGCTCGAGAGTTGATTTAGTTCACGTTTTGGTTTCGTTCTAGTTACCTATATCTACTAGCGGACCCGACAGACGTTGTCCTGTCTACACGTCTTTAATTTGAAAATTTCAAACTTTTTTTAATAATTTTTTTGATGAAAATTATTATTCAAATTGTGAATCTAAACCATTCCCAGATCCCCTTGAACACACACAAAAAATTTCATCAAAATCGGTCCAGTCGTTTGAGAGAAGTTCAGTGACATACACACTCACAGAAGAATTATATATATAAAGATTTTACTTGATATGATATGAATAGTTATTACGAGTGTACCTTAGGAGAAAGACTTATGTTTTGCAGACTTTTCTGTAGGCCTTATTAAGATCTACTATTATCTAGTACATTGTTGTTGTACATTTTCAAGTGCATTATTTTGATGTATCTCATTAGGTTTAGCCAGCGTTAGACATGTAAATTTCTAAGGACGACTTGAAGAACCAAATATTGTGTTTTCCCTTGGAAATTTTCCTTTAGTAAAAAATAACCTAAACGTTGACCCGAGTAATAAGTTATCTCTACACAAAATTTAGTTAGAATCGGTTCAGTACTTCTTGCGTGAAACGCGTACATCGATTTCGCTAAGTTACTGTTTTATTATATTTAGGTACCTATAGATATAGATTGCGTGCTGCGTCGTGTCGATATCGTGTATTTTGCAAAAAATATTTGTTTGGTAATGTTTAGAAAGATACATAATTGTAACTGAAGAAGCAATTTTTAAATTGTATAATTGACATTTTCGGTTTTTGGTTTTACGAACATTTCGTAGGGGCTAGTTGCCAGGCAGTTGCTTCCATAAAAGGATGAGTTGAAGTTCAAAGAACAAGCAAAAAAAAATAGTGCATCTACACAGTGCCTATGTAACAATATATTCAAAAAAAATATTCAAAAATTAACAATAGATTTCTTAGAAATTTAATTAATTTCTTAGAAATTTACCTGCAGGTGTTAAGTAGGTATAGGTATAGTTATTAGAAAGTCTATTTATTAGCAGTTAATATTCATGCAGGCACGTCACACATCACGTTTCACACGTTTTATCTCTATCTACTCTCCCATGTATCAATAGTACCTACCTAAATATTATATATAGTAAATAAGACCAGTTAGGTACTTGTCATAATAATCTAAACCTATATAGGTACATATACACAAATAGTTATAGCTGGTTTATTGATACAGAGATTAAATTCACAGTTTTTAAAAAAAATGTCTGTCTGTCCGTCTGTTACTACATTACGAGAAATCAAAATATGTATTGAGTTTTAATGAACTTTGGTATCGTAACAGCTGATGTGCTGAGTTAATGTAATTTTTTTTACAGCGGACAAATGTTTTATTTCTAAGGAAAAATAAATAATGTAAGCATTGGATAGAGTAAAATCACGCCCAAACTATAGTTATAAACATTTTAACATGGTAAATGAGGAAAAAAAATAATTATAAATACCTACTATTTATTTAAAGAAAACTACTTACATAAAAAGAGGTAAAATAAGATAAAATTTTATACCTACATAAAAATATTGATGAGTAGGTATACATACACTTGTAACTGAACAATAATTAAGTATGTATTAGTAGTAAACTACGAATATATAATATTTTTTTTAAAGTCGTCAATAGATATCGCGATGACTTTACAATATTCGTAATTTAATTTTCAAAACAAAATCGACGAACTGACATGACCTCTTTCTTTGTGATATCTATATTAAAACTTAAAAGTAGGTACTTGTAGTACGATGTCGTAGAGTTTGCTCGTGGCTGCGGCTGCTTTAGCGCGATTTTACATAGGTATTACTCAGTATCGAATATTATTTTCAAAAGATAATTTTTGCACTGATCTTTGAATATAAAAATTGAGCAAGGACTAGTTTAACTCACGCATCGAGGGTTTCGACTTCCGTAACACCAAATATTGTGTCTTTTCAATGAAATATTTTGTTTGGCTCACACTAAAATAAAATGTTTACATTTTTACAATATGTCTACTATTATATTTTATATTGCCTATGTATTTCTTAACGATATTATGGAAAAAAAAGTTAATTACAACAGACAGAGCGGTAACTTAAAATAACATAGGATCATAGGTATCCCAAAAAGTACTCAACGCACTATCTTAGTTAAGTAGGTAGGTAATAATCATGTGAATTTATATTAAAATCGGTGTGGTATTTTCAGTAAAAATGATCTCGTATGAATATTATAGTGTTAATCTAACTAACTACGTATACATACATACTATACCTATGTAAAAATAGCAGAATATTATACGGAACCCCCGGGTGTGTGAATCAGACTCGTACGTACATAAAGTTTTTTAAGTTAAGAATCAGAACTACTCGTTACAAACTTTTTCTCTTTAAATTGATGTAAGTTGGCCAACAAATTATTTATAATATAGGTAATAGGAAGGTATATACACCTAAGTTTTTGAAGCACTCTAATTTCTAGAGCTATTAGTCCGATTTCACAGAAGTGAAGTCTTTAGCAGAGAATGCAAAGAGCCTAGAAGAAGGTTGTAGGGTTTCTAATATGTCGCCGCAACTCGTAAGAGTCTGTTGCCACGTAAGAAAGTATTATATATCATTATATTTTGTCTCCAATGTTGTAAATAAATGAAATATATTGAACTAGTTTTAGGAATTGTTTGAAAGAAAAATAATAAAATAAACATTATACTTATAGTAATATTAATAACATTGTAATGCAGCTCATGTGTGTTTGTCCTGCAGTGAGGGCACGTGCGGGGGTGAGGGTGGGGGCGAGGGCGGCTGTGAGGGCGGAAGCGAGGGCGGGAGAGGGCAGCAGTGCGGGCAGGGATAGCGGGGCGATGGGGCGCGCGCGGCGGCGGGCGGGATGGCGGTGAGCTGCCCCGAGGTGATGTACGGCGCCTACTACCCCTACCTGTACGGCCGCGGCGCCGCGCGCTCCTTCCACCACGCGCCGCACTTCCAGTACGATCGGGTCAGTATCACACACACACACACACACACACATCTTACATGCTTTACCCACATTAACAAAACCGCCTTTATAACTTTGGTGCCAATGTATAATATACATATAAAGGTATTACAAAACAAAAAAATAAAGGTGCGTCCTGATTATTATTTAATTTTATGATAATAATTAATAAATATACTTTATAGCGATACTTAGTTCGTAGACAAGTGTTGTTATTTGATACGCGCCAAATGCGAGCCAGTAAAGCGGCGCGGGCAGCTGCGGGCCTGCCACGAGTAGGCTACGACTTTACATATTAATACCTACCTATCTTATCAGTTTTATTGCTCCTCTTTTGAGAAGTTTTCACTTCAAAAAATAAATGCCGAATTGGTGCAGCCGTTCTCGGGTTTTGTTCGCTGATCAATACATCTAGCCATTCATTTATATTTATATATGTAGATAGATATACCAATTTTTGAAGTGAAAAGTTTTATAGGCAGGTTTGGATGGGGAGTAAAATGTAAGTCATCATCGACATGGTCACGTGACGTGTTAACGCTATCACTCAAGAGTGCCGATAGGCGTCGAAACCAGATAAATGTAAACAATTTTAATTTACAAATTTTTATTTAAGATCAAACAATTAATTTGTATATCTAAAAATAACAACTGTTTTTTAATACTTTTAACTTTGCACTTCTGTCGGCCGTCCTTATGTGTGCTTTTTTTTAAATAGGTAGCTGGTAGGTACATAGGTAGGTATATCAATTTGCATGGAAAGTGTCGGTCTGCGTCTAACTCACGGTATTCACTGATCACGTGGGGGCGAAGATCGAGCTTAGTTGCGTATCTCAGAAGAGTTTTATTCACCACAGTGGACTAAATTAGATTAATTATGCGGAGTTGACTCAAATTTCTATGCTCCACAAATAAAAAATATTTTAAAACAAAATAATTTTATTTTTCAAGTTATTATACTTACTCGCATCTTAGCAACCTTTCTTTTAACCATGTTATTATAGTCTATTACCCATGTGTATCTATCTACCTTTGACCTGTTTCGCTGGTCTCATTGATGGGTTGGATGGAGCTTAAAAAACTGCGTTTTATATCCTCATTATATGAATTAGAATATCATTAAGAGTAATAACGACAATAAATTCGACAACTGTCTGTGACTCATATGCTATGAGGATACTAAAATCAACAGTGTTTTAATTCTATTGCCCATAAAATGAAACATTCTCACTTCTACCTTATAATTTTGTTAAACAAATAGCTATGTCTCGTTTAGTACAAATTATCACTATGTGTGGCTATTAAAGGTTTTGATGCATAGAAAAGGTACTAGGTAGAAGTAGCATGGAGCCTCAGAGTCGCGAGCCGGCGCGAGGAAACGAAAGCAGTTGTTGTTAGCAATAATTCAATACGGGCCGCGAGCCCCATACTAATACCCGTACGTTAGCCGCAGCGCTGTCCCCACGCTCATGCCACCTTTACACACCAGTTTTTACCGAGCTTCCACATATCTCTAATACGTGGAATTGTGGCTTACAGTCGTTTAAGGCAATTTCCAGTTTACTAGAAGTATCAATTACAAGTCGATCACTACTCTAACCTGACTATTAGGGTTCCCTACAGATGTATAGTTAGGTCTATGAACATTTTTACATTTATTACTTAGGTACATATTTCATTTTTCACTTTGAACCTAAATTACCTACCTAACCTACCTTCTAGGTATATATATAGGGATATTTTATATGCCTATATATTTTTTGCCGTCCTATTATTTAAAAATTAAAAAGGTAAATTTAGTGAAATATAGGTATTACTGTTTAGTTTTTCCATTTAATTTTATGTACCTACGTAGGTAGTAGGTAGGTACTTAATAATGTTATTGTCAAACGGTAACGGTAGAAGTTGCCGAAACGATTCTATCTAAGATTATGAAGTAAAACTTCAAGCATATCGAGTAATTTTGAAGATCATACGTTGTGTTTAGTACCTACCTTAAAAGTTAAAACAAAAGTAATGAAATTTGATGATGAACTCTCGTAATAAAATTATTAAATCTTGCAATAATTATTAGTAAGTAATATAAACTTTTATCCGCAGGGAACAATGTGTTCGGAACAAAATAATTCGCTGACAGTTTGTCACTTAGATAATTATAGCTATTTGTCATTGTATGTAATTTAATAAATATCATGTAATGCGCGAATGGAGTGGTGTTTTGCACTAGGCAGTAGGTGAAGCTTGCCATTTTTATAGTTATGCCTATTGTTAGTCAACGCGCACTGCGGGCTCTCGGCGGACTGCCGCGGCCGCTGGTAATTAACTCGTCTGCGTGCCCTCAACCGCAGTGCTCTGTAACCTTCACTTGAACACTCCCTTCATTAGTACATGTAACTCAATATACTGCCAATACTTACTTTCCTCGAAGTATTTATTAAAAATAAAGACTATAATTTGTATTGTAAGTATAGGCATATGTATGTCTATATGTACACATGTATAGGTATTAGGTAGGTTGTAAAATGCAACTCCATAAGGAAACTTTATGAGTTATCATTAGTAGACTTTATTTACTAGGTAAATAGGTACTTAATTTCTGCTGTTACTACATCTCCAGAGTCGAGACTGGAGACTACAAGTGGGGTCTCGGTATTACTCGCCCCACTGTGCACAGCGCGTGGGCGCGGGGCGCGGCGCAGGGAGTCCGCTCTCGTGCGCTTTAAATGAACACGACTTACTCGTAATACTTGTACTAATAAATTTTTTGGTCTAAATAAAAATTTCCCTGAAAAATTACCTTCAAAGATAGAAAGACAAATTCGTTGCAAACATTAAATGTAGGTACCTATAATGTGTTTTGAGTGGTCGTATCTATAATATGTATGTAAACAAAATTTATCGAATATTTAATCACATTAATTAATGTGTATGTTCATGGAACAGTTGAAAATGTTTGAGATGTCATAATATTTCGCTAATAATATTAAATTATTTACATTTATTTTAAAATAAGACATTGTAAATCTAAAATCTTGTTGATATTCATCAAAAAAGCTGTAGGTATGTAAGTATATTGTATGAGTACCTAATAAAGTAACAACTTATAAGTACGTAGGTAAAGGTTAGTTAAAATCAACACACACAACACTTCGATATCCATCAATAGTACCTATGATCATTTTACCACTTGTTACAAATATTATTTATATTTAAATTAGCATTGCCCGCGGCTCTGCCCGCGTTCAGATCACCAAAAACTAAATTCTTAGGTTTTACATATTAGTATACCCATATAATGCAGTTTTTGTATTTTTTTCTCAGTGATAAGATATTTTCCCGCGGTAAAAAGTATCCTATATGTTGACCCGGATAACCAGCTATCACCATACCAAATCTCATCAAAATCTGTCCACTGGTTCTCTCGTGATGCGGTAACAGACAGATAGACAGAGAAAAATTCTAAAAACTATAGATTCGGCCTCTGTATCGATAATAATGTCTATTTCAATTAGATTTTCCAAAAAATATTTAATGTACAGATGTCTGCTACGTGATGACCACGACCGCTCTGTCAAGAGTGTCACGAAGAAGAAGAATAGGTTACAAAAAATAAGTATATAAAATAATAATTCATATCAATAACAAACCTATTATGACCTTTTAAGTTAATTAAAACTTACAACATTACAAAACATATTGTGATTAACTTAAATTTTACATTAAAATATTCCAGACAAGTGCGAGTCGGACTCGCCCACCGAGGGTTCCGTACAAGTAGGAAATCTGTTTGACTTTAATTTTCAACCTTTTATATTTTTTTTTTAATTTTTCCTTTATTTGTGCTATAAGACCTTGCTTTTTGCTAAATTTCGTGATTCTAGGTCAACGGGAACTACCATATACCGGAAGTACCTACCCTATAGGTTTTCGACCCAAAACCTATAGGGTACTTCCGGTTGACCTCGATTTGTCCATTTTGGTAAAACGCAAGGTATTAACAACTAACAACAAAAAAAAAAAGAAAATTTTGGTAAAACTTGATACTTACAAGTATTCGCGAAAATCTAAAGCCCATATCTTTTTATCGTGCTGACTCAGGACCTTGATTTTTTACACTGAATAGGAACTAAAGACCTCAGTATCTGGTATAAATTTCAACTTGCTAGGTCCACCCGTTCCTGAGAAAATGAACGCATATGATACACTACACAGACACACGGACAGACGGACAAGAGAGTGATCTTATAAGGGTTCCTTTTTTATCTTTGGAGGTAGGTACGGAACCCTAAAAATCATATTATTATAAGTTCTATCAAAATATATCCTATAATAAATTATAAACTGTAAATCAGATTTTATTATTTTATTTTACAGTTACTGACTAATTTAACGATTAGATATTGTTTTAAAATCACAAAATATTGATATAATTTGTTACCAATATTTTAAACTAGATGGCAGAATGATCTCGCGCCCATACGCTTCACTTGTCGACTCGACGCGGCGCGGGGTGGCGTGGCGGCACAAATATACAACTTTATGACCATCTTATAATTAAAATATTATCTCATAGTAGGTGCTAACATGTAGGTATTACCTAGTTAGTATTATTTTGCCAAGTTTCCAAAAAGATTACAACATTCGGATCTGATTAGGACGTTGATACCGTTGAATTATTATTTTGTAAAGAAATATAAAATAAAGAGAAGGTAAAAAAGATTAGTTTAAATATTGTTGTACTAAATGTACAACTCAATAGGATGTAAATGTGGAACTCCATAGGGACATCAAAAGTTCCTCGGTTTGCTTACGAGTGACTGAAGGTCTCGAGGAACCCGCTCGTCGCAGACAGGTGCAGTCGTCGGGGACTCGTCTTATCTTTATTACTGTCCAATAAAACTAATTAGAGATTCTTACACGTAATATTTGATGGTAAAAGATAAAAAAGATACAAATTTTTTCTTCATTTCTGCGAAGCTCCAAGCTTGAAGTCAAATTGA